GGTGAGATCTCACCCCTTTCACCACCACCCCCCCCCCCGACTGGAAAAAATGCACGCTTTCGTCGAGAACTCGAGCGTAGTTGGGCGTTTGCGCCGAAAATTTTCGGCGTACTTCGGCGTAAATCGACGGCTTGCGCCGAAATTTTCGGCGTACTTCGGCGTAAATCGCGAAAAAAAACCGTCAGGGGGGTGGCACCAACCCCCCCCCCTCGGCCGGCGAGGATTAAAGGTCTTCGGGAGTTAAACATCTTAAATATCACTTATCTTGTCTCGTGTTCGTCTCAGGGGCGTGTTTCGTTTTTCCAACCAAAGGAAGGCGCTATACCCGAAGATGCTTCTTGGTAAACAAACCAAACAAAAACAAACATAACCTAACCTCACCTGACCTAACCTACAACCTACAAACCTACAACCTACAACCTAACCTACAACCTAACCTACAGACCTACAACCTACAAACCTACAACCTACAAACCTACAACCTAACCTACAACGCGCCAAAAAGTTCGGCCGGCGGCGGTGATCGAACCCTAGTCATTAGATCACGAGGCGAGTGTGCTCACCACTTCACCACGCAGCCAGCTGGCCAGTGGGAGGTGTAAGTCACTTTTCAATGACGCAATGGGATATTCTCCGTATAGCGCCTTCCTTTGGGTGGAAAAAAGAATTACGCGTCTCAGGGTATCTAAGTCATGTTCAGTGAACCTGATTGTGACTCTCCCACGGCGGGAACAGTTCACCGGTCGAGAGTGAGGTTATGGATTGTCGGATTCCCTAGTTCAGATAACGTATGCTATCGTGTGCGTATTGACCGTTGTGATTCCTGTATTTCCGGCGTGTGGTTTGCGAGCGGACGCTGGCAATCGGTCCCGCGTGGCCTGGTATCTGCCCGATCCCATCGGCCGTGCTTGCACCACGCCTGTTGAAGGCCCCGTCAGGCGTCAGTCACCGGTTGGGCACTACTGCTGATCAGAGCCGGGCAACAAAATAAAGGTTACATTATGGAACATGCCAGTGAGTTTGTGAGTCAGGAGATTTTGTGATAGCGAACGCTGGTGCTCGGTCCCGCATGGCCTGCTGGGCCCTGTTTCACCGGTGATAGCAGCACGCTGCTTTTACACGTGTCAAATTGGGTTTCCATGGAAACATCTACAGGCCCATTGCTCCAACACTACCACAAGTGTGACGTCAGCTCGCGCAATTTGATAGCAGCGTGGTAGCAGCATACCGTGAAACACCGCCCTGATGTCTATTGTCTGCCCGATCCCATCGACCGTGCCAACAACCGTCTGTACAGTAGTCACTGGAAGACGGCCACACACACATGCCAGCCCCCCCCTCGACGAAAAGTGCGTGGCTACAGCCTGCAGCCATCAGTAAGCCTTGAAGATTTTCGGCGCATTAAGCATGGCTTGCTAAAATAATTTCGGCGCATAAACCCTTGCGCCGAAATTTCGGCGCATCACCTCCGCCGAGAACTTCAGCGTAGTGGAGGCATTTTTTCCAGTCGGGACCCCCCCCCTGGCTGCGCCACTGCAACCAGCTGGCTGGTCAGCTGGTGACGTACATTAGCCATAAACGTATAGCTATAAGCAAGGTACTAGCTGGGGATAAACATGTAAAATGGCACTATAAGAGAAATTGACAAATAGATATTTAGGCTGGGGGGATCCATGTGATCGCAAGGCACCTCGCAGTTGCGATCAAACGTAAGTTGAATCGGAACAGATATTGGAGGGATCCATCACATCGTAGGCTAAGTAGATACGCAAGTTGTATCGCAAATGGTGAAGATACGAACTAACTTTACGAATCTTCTCGGTCGATCGGAAGGCCGATCGTAGTGAAGCTTTACCTCTTTCTCAAGAGAAAAATATAAGAAATTTTCAAAATTTTCACAAAACCGAAATATATGTTAAACAAATATGGTTGATGAACACGTGTGCAAAATTTGAAGTCGATTTCTTCAAAAATGGCTGCGCTAGAGCGTTTTAAATTTACACGTTGAAAACGGTCACTTTCACGTCATTTTTGTAATCACTTTTTCAATTTTGAAAGTTAAAAAGTGTTTTGGGCAATTTTTCGCGTTAATTGCGAAAATCTGACCAAAACATGTATCGCACCATCAATGATCCGATACGCCATCAGAGGCCGCGCCGCGGACAGGTGGGCGCGGCGATACCTAGGCCGCGTGGGGGTTACACTGGTGTTCGGGAAGGGCTATGTCAACGCGAGGCAGGCCGCGGGGGAGCCGGTTGCGGCGCCGCGCCGGTCCGTATTTGTCGGCGCCTAACAGTGCAGCGGTGCGTTTATGGCGGAGGGAGGGGAAGCGGTGTAGTGTCGGCAAGGCCGCACACAGGAGAGGGCACACGGGCCTCCCCCCATTCGAGTTGGGGCCCCTAATCTTTAGACCGCCGAAGACCATGTAAAATGAACTGATATAATGATTGAAAAGACCGGGAGGGCCCATCTCGTTCCCCAGCAGGCTCATACGAGTCCATAAATGCCCAGTAGCGCAGCCAGGGGTATTGTGGTGAAATTTCAATGGCCCTCAAAAGACCTCAAAGGGCCCACAGATGGGGTCACCGGGTCCTCAGATGGTCTCGAAGGGCCCTCGGTTAGCGTCAAATGGCCCTCATCTGGTGTCAAAGGGCCCTCAGATGGCCAAATGAAGGGCCACAAGATGGCCTCAAAGGGCCCTCAGATGGGTTCAAAGGGCTCTCAGCCAACGTTAAACCTACCTCAGAAGACCTTAAAGGGCGTCAAAGGGCCCTAAACCTGCGTCAGAGGGCCCTGAGCTCGCGTCAAACGACCCTCCGAAGGCCTTAAAGAGTCCTTAGCTTGTGTCAGAGGGCCCCCAGCTGGTGTCAGTGAGCCCTCCTCAGCTGGCGCCAAAAGTCCATCTGAAGGCCTCAAACGGTCGTCAGCTGGAGTACAACGGTCCTCAGATGCCGTCACGCGGCCCTCAAAAGTCTCAAGGAGCCCTTATAAGGTCTCAAAGGGCCCTCATTTGGCCTCAAAAGGCCCTCCGCTAGCGTTAACCGGACTTCAGAAGGCCTTAAAGGGCCCTTATCTGGTGTCAGAGGGCCCCACCTAGTGTCAGAGGGCCCTCAGTTGGCGCAAAATGGCCATCAGAAGGCCTCAAACGGTCCGTAACTGGAGTCCAACCGCAACGGTCCTCAGGTGGCGTCAAGCGGCCCTCAAAAAGCCTCAAAGGCCGCTTAAGAGGCAGCAAAGGGCCCTCATATGACCCCAAAGGGTCCTCTGCTGGCGTCAAACGGACCTCAGAAGGTCTCAAAGGGTCCTCAAAGGGTCCTCTGCTGGCGTCAAACGCCCTTTGAGACCTTCTGAGGTCCGTTTGACGCCAGCAAAGGGTCCTCTGCTGGCGTCAAACGGACCTCAGAAGGTCTCAAAGGGCGTCAAAGGGCCCTGAGCTCGTGTCAAATATAAAAGCGCCCTTAGCTGGTGTCAGGAGGCCCCCAGTTGGTGTCAGCGTGCCCTCAGCTGGTGTCAGAGAGCCCTCAGTTGGCATCTACTGGCCATCAGAAGGCACCAAACGGTCCTCAGATGGCGTCCAACGGTCCTCAGCTGACGTTAAGAGGCCCTCAAAAAGGCCTCAAAGACCCCTCGGATGCTGAAGAGGCCCTTAGCCTCAAAGGAAACTCAAGAGACGTTAAACGGCCCTAAAAAGGCTTGAAAGGGCCCTCTGCTGGTGGCAAAGGGCTCGCATATGACGTCAATAACAGCTTTGTCAAAAACGGACCTGAGAGACCTTGCCAGTCCCTGGTTATAAGGGACTCCTGTCTCTTGCAGTAACCTGAGTGGCCCACGTTTACTGAGGGGCCCCTGGTTATTGAAGGAGTCCCTGGTTACTGGAAGGACCCCTGGTTATCAGAGGGTTCCCTGGTCACCTGGTGGGTCCCTGATCAATTGAAACCTCCCGATCATCTGAGCGCCCCCTGATTGCCTTGGTCTTGGCGTTGGCGTACAGTTTAAAGTCGTCGGCACACTGCGGCCTCCTCTTTCTCAACAAGTCCCTCTATTTCTTCTGCAGCGAGGGCGATTTCGTCAAAATACTCCTCCATCGCGAAGCCTCGTGCGCAGACGCAGTCTTCGGGGCGCTCGCTGCGCCAACTCTTGACGCCAACTGACGGGCTCCAAATGGAACAGATGGACTCCGAAACGAACATGGGAATGCCGACACATGATCCCTCCAAATTTACAGAGGAGGAGATGTCCCTGACAGCCTATTTGCAATAAGGGTCACTTTTACACTATAGACGTATGGGGAATTCGACCTTATCGACATGGTACTACGAGGTCAGCTGATCTGCTTGGCATTTAAATCGTAGTAAAACAGGCATTTAAACGCTGCGAAACAACTTACGTACAACGTAGCTCCGATTTGCCGCTCTTTCTTTTTCATCCCTCCGATTTTCTTCCGATCAAGAGAAGTTTCGTACCGAGAGAAGTTTCGCAGCCACGTCCGATATAACTTACGATAGCACGGATCCCCCCAGCCTTAGCCTTTTATATCTAGCATTGACATATAACAATAAGAAGCTCTGTTAGTACAATCAATACTGTTTGCTTGAATACTGTTAAGTCAGGATGCACTGTCTGTATCCCTGCAATTTGTAACCGCTTCTTGCAGCATACACCTACCACTGACCTGTTGGCACCATCATGTTCTGTCTTATCGGACATCTGTTACTTTGCTCGTTCTCAGGGAACATACATGTGATGTGTCGTATTAATCTTTGTGTGCATATGCTGTGTCACCTAGTTTAATCTATTTATGACTGCCACTGTAAATGGGATGCAATGCCTGTAGTCGGCTAATGCAAATACAGAATCATATGGTGCCAGCTGGCAAATAATCCAGTTAATAGCAAAGCCCTAAGTGTCCATACAAATTGTGATTTTTGTATTTAAAAAAATCAAGTTTTTCTTTAGAAATAATACAAGTTGGAACAATATTGATGTAGATGAGTACATACCTACGTTACTCCTTGACTGTGACGTGCCCAACAGCGGCCCTTGAGTTTAAATTTCTTCCACAGCGTATGAAAACAAGCATAAAAATCAATGCATATAAATATACTTTAAGTCCCGGCCCACTAGCACCAATCTCAAAAGCTGCTCAAAAGCCAGCTCAAAAGGTTTTAATTCCGTTAATAATTCCAATAATTCCCTTGCAGCCGATCGTCATAAAAATTTATGACAATTCTGACGCAGTTGCGATGACAAAAGCTAATTCAGTGAAAAAGAAAGATGCTACTGGAAGGGAAATTCCTTCACTTTGAAGGTAAATCCTATTGGGATTTTTTTTTTTCTTTGCGTTTTCCTAACGTTTATACGTTTATATACTTAGCTTCAAATTCAAATTCAGATTCCAGATTCATATTCGATGGAAAAAATGATAAAAACGGACCCCTAAGAATTTCATCAAATTTTTTTCGAAGGTCTCTTCGGGGGGATCCCCGATTGACCCAAAATTTTGATTTACCCGTAAAACTTTCCTAAAGGAAAAAGTGAAATTTTACTGCACCACTGTATCTGGGCAATCTGGGTAAACGAGAGCTTTTGTTTGATGTACATTTTTACCAACATCTTTACCGTAGCGCCCCGTTTTTGGCCGTATAAGGGCGATTAAACGGGTATTTTACGAGTTTACGGGAATTTACTAGCCTTAAACGTCGATGCAACGGGGACCATTTTGGGGAAAGTTTTGGCAGGGTATATTGAGTTTTGGCACCTGTGTGCCGATTTCGAACGAAATCGGCGGGGACCCAAAATTTTGATTTTCCAGTAAAAACTTTCCTATGGGAAAAAAGTGAAATTTAACTGCACAGCTGTGTCTGGGTTAACGAGAGCTTTCGATTGGTGTAGTTTTTAACCTTCTTGTGACGTCATTTCTAGGGGAAAACGGGTCATAAGGGTGTCCCCCTACCGGGTCCTTTTTTCGCTTTTTTTCCCTTACCAAATCTGTGCTGTGCTGAAGCTGTCACCTTGGTTTGTTGTCTTCGATCAGCTGATAGTTTTGGCCTTTGGGGGTATGTTTATCGTATTTATTATATTTATTTATACCGTGGTATTTGTCGCCTTCTTGGGTTGATTTTGGGGCTGCTGACTCAAAGACTCTGGGCATTGCACTTCACTTAGCTTGATTCAAGGAACTAAAACATAACTTGACTCATTTTGACTCCTTTACCCCAAGTTATCATTATCGATGTTATTGCTATGGCATTTGCATCGTATTTATGACCGTGGGCATTTGGCGTTCGGGCGGCTTGTACTGACTTTGTTCTTCCCAGTTAAATTAACCAGCAATAATTTGTAATCCTGTAGGTCCCCTATGGCCTACAGGGTGATTTTGTTTTTCCCATACAAGGAGGTTATTGCTGGTGCTTCTTGGCCTCTTCATTGGTCTAATGAAGAGACGACATGAATTTCACCAATAAGGAGCCAAGAAATAGCAGCATGCTCGCAGCCTGCTGATAAAATTTGTGACCCAACGGGTTCCAGGGTGGCGTTTCATGGCTGTTGCTACCTCACTGGCAGTGCATTTCGCCAGCTGACGTCGGCCCAATGTACCGGCGTCAGCTACACGACAACCGCTGCTGTGCCGCAGGCTGTCGGCGCCCTGGACCTGTGGATGGAGCCGGTGTCGGGTGCCGCCGCGGCGTCCCCGACTCAGCAGGCCGGCCCGCCGCCGTCGCCAGCCACCTCGCCGCGGCCGCTGCTGCTCGGCGGTGCCGGGGAGGGCGCGCGCCAGCTGGCTGAGCAGCTGCAGGCCGGCCTCCGCCCGCTGCTGGACCCGCGCCGTCAGCTGAGCGCGCCGCCCGCCCTGGAGACGCCCTACGGTCAGTGGCAGCCGGCCCGGGGCGAACTGGGGGGCACAGGGTACGGCTACTGTGAACGGTGCCGGACCGTGTCCGGGGCTACTGTGAACGGTGCCGGACCGTGTCCGGGGCTACTGTGAACGGTGTCGGACCGTGTCCGGGGCTACTGTGAACGGTGCCGGACCGTGTCCGGTGGCCAGACTGACTTGGACTGGGCGGGCTGGGAGCAGCACTGCCAGCTCTGGCTGGCACAGCTCCCATGGCCCGGAATGGAATGCGGCAAAGCCTGGAACATAGCCCGTTTCGGCCGGAATGCCTACCCACTCCAGCAGTGTCCCAAAATTGGTTGATTTGGGTGGGAAACGACTTCCAAATGAAAATAATTTTGCACTCTTCCAATTTTTAAAAACAACTCTCTATTCCCAATTTTACTAAGAAAAAATGATTTTCCATAGGATATTCATTTTATATCATACATTTTTGGTCACTTGTGTATAAATTTACGCTTTGGATCCTCTCTCGCTCTTTTTAGGTCTTATCTAAACGGCAAACGGCAATTTGCCTATCTCCTCTCCTTTTCCTGAGAAATTTCCCCTCTGATACCCAAGCGAAAATACAACATGGTGACACTGCTCGGGCCCAGTATTAAGTTTGCCCTGTGACGCGACGGCGCGGAGTGCATCTGGTGCGCCCACTGGCTGGTTAGCCCGGCAGATGGCGTCCCCGTCAGAAGGGCACGCAGGGAACACGGAAATTCAGTGTCTGCAAAAATGAGCATGCTGTGATGACGCCACTCGTGGCAGGTGGCACCCAATGTCCGGACGATGGGACGATGGGACAAAGTGCCAATGAAATTTAGGAACATTTCGTTTATCAGAGTTACAGAGGTTAGAATCGAGTCCATGGTAGTGAGCATACATTACATTGTAATGCAGGTTCCAAGGCACGGTGTCATCACTGTGTCAATGCTCAGTTCCGAATCTCACGGATGATGGATTTTATCAGGGAAAATGTCGTCCTGACCTGAGGTCAAGGTCAAGGTCAGAGCCACTCAGGTCATGAAGTTTGGTCAAAGAAGGTCTTGTCGCATATTATTCGATTCGGCAGATCTTTCCGAGTCCATTGGTGGCTTTTCTGACTCGCTAGCTCAATTTGATAGGAAGTTATTGACGAAAAACTCATGACCTTAGTAACTTCATAAATCACGTCACGCAAGGTCAACAATGCAAAAGCGAAGCATCAGACCTTGGAAGGAGTGCATGAAATCACGATTGTATGTGCTTGAAACAGTTTGAGATAATTCCTGGCACTAAAATACCTAGGTAGAAGTTTCCATATTTCCCCAATTGACTTATATTGGTGAGGGCACGTGACTGACCTGACCTCATGTGGCTCGTAAGAAAATCCGCGATATACAAGTTGTGTGCTGTATGTCGGTGCCGCTATCTGGTTGTATCGGTGCCATTTTGAGGTGTAGTTGACTCAACAAAAAAAAGCCGCTCAACCTCAGGCTGCAACCCTGACTTACCGTCACCCATAAGTGATGCAGCTGGATTTCGACAAAACCCACCAAATCTGGACCATTCAGGACTAGAGACCATTCAGGCCGCGGGGACAGACCACGTGGCCGCTGATAACTTGTCAGCGAGGTGCTGGAGAACACTGACACAACTACGATGCGATACATTTCGGGACACAAGTACAACATCCCGCAACAATGTCGTGATACCCTGTATTCGTGACCGTCACCGTGGAATGTGTCACATGTGCCCACAATACATGTGAAATGTGTTGTGGGCACAGTCACAGTGGAACGTTTATGATCAACGCCTGTAGTCAACAAAAACGGTGGAATATATGGAAACTCAGGCATTTTGCAAAATGCCTCGCGGGTCAGGCATTTTGCAAATTGCCTTGGCATTTTGCAAAATGTCCGAGTTTTCACTTTGCCTGTAACATCTATACCGGCATGTGGTGCGTATCGGTGCTGTTGTGCACAACAGCACCGATACACACCACATAACGGAAAATCGATGTAAATCTTTTACACCACATGTGGTGTAAAACGGTGGGGTAAATGTGGTGTATGTCGATACCGTTGTGTGGTGTATAACGATGCCGTTGTGTGGTGTATGTTTATACCGCTGTGTGGTGTATGTTTATACCGCGGTGTGGTGTATGTTTATACCGTTGTGTGGTGTATGTCGATACTGTTGTGTGGTGTATAACGGTGCCGTTTTGTGGTGTATGTTTGTACTGTTATGTGGTGTGTAACGGTGCCGTTGTGCGGTGTATGTTTATATTGTTATGTGGTGTATGTTTATACCGCTGTGTGGTGTATGTCGATACCGTGGTGTGGTGCATGTTTATACCGCTGCACAGTGGCCCTTTTTCAGAATTAGCACGCATAAATTCAAAATATTTTTTCTCTTCTTTTGAGTAAAAAGTAGTCTAATCGTGTGCAAAACATTCCAAACTATCCGATGGTGCCATTTTTACCTCCTAAAAAATAATCATCTTTGGTAAAACTGACCGCAAAATCGAAGTTTGTCGAGAGGCGCGCGGACACCACCGGCGGGCCCTAAAAAGTAGGGTGAGATGAACAACAATTTGTAAGGCTTTCGGTGAGAAAATATTAAAAATAAGTGGCATGGCTGTGAAGCTGAGTTTACGTAGAAGCCCTAGAAACCACAATTTTCATTGTATAAACTTAAATAGGCCACTTTTGCCGAATATTGTGGACACAATAACAGGACGATTATTAACTGGGGATGGCGGCATACATATGAAGCTTTATGTTAAGTAGCACACTCTGGAACATGTCGTATTATACATCGTTCGAATCGCCGATCTCTTCTGACCATGTCCACCAAAGGGCATCGCGCCATTTTGCGCCATTTTGCTTCTACGGTGGATAACGTGAACCAGTTCAGTCCGCGAACGGCTGTGGCTCCTGTTCGATACGACTAAGCTCATTGACCTGGCTCGAAGCTGGTGTCATCTGGTGGGCGCCTAAATGTGGCTTGACTTTTGCCATAAGATGTGCTTATTGAAATGTCATGTAGGCATAACGCTGTGCTCAAGAAAAACTGTCCGATTTCTTGTCGCGTTTGATGTCCAAGCCGCACAAGTCCCGTAGGATCGGCTTAAGATCTAACGTCAAAAGCGCCTATGTGTTTATATTGTTCGCGTCGCGCTGACCTTAGTTGCTGCTCGGCCGGGGCCGACTAACGGTGGCTGGCAACAGCTGTAGATGCGGTCACGTGACGCCCTGAGGCGTCCTGGCGGTCAGTGCAGCGTGGTCGGCTGGCGGGCTCTCCACACTTGCGTTCGGAGCGGCCTGGGCCGGCGGGCGAGCCGTGCGAACGTGCGCCAAATCTTGGGCCGAGCGGCCTGTCGCTGTTGGGCCGAATCTCCTTGGGCAGTTCGTTTCTTTTCTTCTCTTTGCATTGGCAAGGAATATCAGGGCTGCGGAGTCGGAGTCGGAGTCGGAGTCGGTCGGAGTCGACAGTTGTGACCGGAGTCGGACTCGGAGTCGCAGTCGAATTTAGAAACCCGAGCTGGAGTCGGAGTCGGAGTCACCGAAAATCTGTCGACTCCGCAGCCCTGCTAGGTCTGCGGAGTCGGAGTCGGGAGTTGGAGTCGGTCGGAGTCGACAATTCTGCCCGGAGTCGGAATCGGAGTCGGAGCTGGTTTTTGAAAGCCGGAGTCGGAGTCGGAGTCGGAGTCGCCGAAAATCCATCGACTCTGCAGTCCTGGGGAATACGTCCTTGATCACGTGGTGATGTCTTGCACCACTTTCAGGTAATGTGGGAATTAATGCGTGCTAATTCTGAAAAAGGGCCACTGTGCGCTGTGTAGTGTATGTTTATACCGTTGTTTGGTGTATGTTTATACCGTTGTGTGGTGTATATCGATACTGTTGTGTGGTGTATAACGGTGTCGTGTGGTGTATGTTTATACTGTTATGCGGTGTGTAATGGTGCCGTTGTGCGGTGTATGTTTATACTGTTATGTGGTGTATGTACCGCTGTGTGGTGTATGTCGATACCGTGGTGTGGTGTATGTTTATACCACTGTGTGGTATATGTTTATACTGCTGTGTGGTGTATTTTTTATACCGCTGTGTGGCGTATGTTTATACCGCTGTTTGGTGTATGTTTATACCGCTGTGTGGTACACGTTTATACCGCTGTGTGGTGTATGTCGATACCACTGTGTAGTGTATGTTTATACCGCTGTGTGGTGTATGTTTGTACCGAGATGTGGTGTATGTTTATACCGCTGTGTGGTGTATGTTTATACCGCTGTGTGGTGTATGTTTATACCGCTGTGTGGTGTATGTTTGTACTTTGTACCGTGATGTGGTGTATGTTTATACCGCTGTGTGGTGTATGTCGATACCGTGGTGGTCGGCGCCATTCTCCGTGCTCAGTCTGCGCCCGCCCATCCATTTCAGCCCGGGACGAATGTGTGCACGTGTTTCGAGTGCGCAGCATGCGGACCGGTCGCACGCGGTCGCTGGTCGCCTGGCTGCGGCACACGAGGAACGTCCACCACAACTGTGAGTGGAGACCCCTATCGGCGGCGGCGCGGCGCCATCACTAACTCGCGCATGACGGGGGGGGGGGACAGAGCCACCCTGTCCCTCCCGGCTTTCTGCAATGTCTTCAAGACACCCGAATATATCGACACGAACCTCTCAGTACCCTCGCCTACATCAATTTGACACCTTGTGTCCTTGAAAAATAGCTACCAGAGGTTGCACGGAAATGACGTCCGAGTGACGTCATGTTCGGCGGGTTTTGGTGCAAAACATGCACTAACGGCAATCGCTCTTAACCCGCGCCCTGGTGGGGTCTGTTTATAACGCAACCTGGTGTGTGTGGGGGGTTATTTTTTGCCCCCCCCCCTCGTATCTCCGAAACTACTGGATCCACAAATTCAAACGGCGTTCGAAAGCCCAGTCAAATTTGTCGAAGGAAATTCAATTTCGTTGACCTCGGGGTCACCGATGACGTCACAGGTCAGGCCAAAGATAAAATGTTTGGCCGGTCATGGGTCTTCTAGGGAATGCGCTATAACATAGACTAAAACGCATTTTATCGAAAATCAGCGATAGGCCGGCGTCAGTTGCCTAGTGCGTATGTTGCTATTAGAGGTCACTGATAACACCAGGTCAGGTCACAGGTCAGGTCACCAAGGGTCAGCAAATGAACCCCATTTTACTTGGGCTGTGTGATGCATGTTTTATGGCCAATTTTTCATTTCAAACTCAATGGTGTTAACCTGCGCATGACTGGGGTATTTTCCATAACGCGAGTGACTGAGGGGGGCTCTTCAGAGCCCCCCCCCCCTCCTCCTCCTATCTCCGAAACTACTGGGGCGATCGTCAAAATTCAAACGGCGTCTGATAGCCCTGGAAAAACTGTCGAACGGAACCTATTTTCATTGACTTCGAGGTCACCGATGACGTCACAGGTCAGGTCAAAGTAAAAATTATCGGCATTTTTAGTTTTTTACAATTTAGACTCTGGCCGCCGGATGACAAGTCAAATCAGGCTCATTTTGGTTTACGCACTTCCTGATATATGCCTCAGATATCCTGAGGGTACCGAACTATTACTTCTAATTTTTCAGGTCAAGGCCAGGTCATCCTAGGTCACGAAAACTGTATATCATGTATCGGTCATGTGACGCATGTTTTATTGTCCATTTTACACGAAGATTTCGAAAATAATGTCGTCTGTGTCATTAGAGGTCATTTTCAGCTGATATTAAGGGAGGTCAGGTCAATTTTAGGTCGAAAAAGGTTAAACTTTGAAAATGATATTTTCAACAAAAAAGGTGCCTATCCGATGCAGTTTGAGCTCAGAAACACGATGGTGCCATTTATATTGCTGTACGATGTCAAAAACGTACGAAAAAATGTTTTGGAAAAATATAGAATTGTAAAATTTTGACAAAATGCAAATAACTTAGCTATTTTTGAAGATATTGGGCTAAAACTTGCTAGAGTAGTTCCTCAGTGTGTGTGTTCTATCACATATATTCCGGTTTTTGCGAAAAATCAAATTCTTTTTGAAGAAAAAATCAGAAAACATGTTTTTTAATTGTAAAAATATATTTTTAAAATTTTCAAAATTTCGAAAAATCGAGATAACAGTTTGATAGCTACGTGTCTTTGTAGTCCACTGATGCAAAGAAATTGGGTCTAGCTTTAAAACTAAGCTCTTGAGAGCGTTTGCCGTAATTCAATATTTTGCATGAAAATCGGCTGACATGACGTCACTCTGACGTTATTTCCGGCCAAACTGTGGTAGCTAGAAAGTTGAAATTTTAATACTAGGTGTCGAATTGATGCTGCTGAGGGTACTGCAAGTTTCGTGTTGATCCGTCAAACGGTCTAGAAGATATTGCCGAAAAGTGGGAGGGGGGCTCTTTCACTCCCTGGTGGAGGTCAGGTCAAAAAAGGTCAAATTTCAAAGTTGATATTTTTGCATAAAATGGGTATTGATTCGATGCAGCTCGTCACGGGGAGTCTAATGGTGGTCTTTGTTTTGCGCTACGTGGTCTAGCATTGCTAAAAATTGAGTTCGAAAATTTGACGTCATTAGGATGAACAGTTTTTGCTATAACTTGGCCAAAAAGAGAGGTATCGATCTAAAATTTGGTATGTGAATATAAGTCAGTTAGGGCTATCACATATATTCCGGTTTTTCGAAAGTCGAGAAACTTTGGATTTTTTTGCAAATATATTTTTTTAAATATATTTTTATTTTTGGGGGTCAAAATAAAAACATAAAGATTTCAAGATAGTCATTTTGTAGCCCTGGTAATTCAACACCTTTTATGTCAAAGACGTTTTTCTGTATCTTCAACGCTATAGGCCTGACAGCTCTTCCTCCGAAATCTTTTTTGGGTCGAAAACGGCAGAACATGACGTCAGTCTGACGTCATTTGCGGCCAACCTATCATAGCCTTTGGAAAAAATGGTCACAATGTGTAAAATTGATGCCCGGGAGGGTACTGAAAGTTTGGTGACGATCGGCGCAGCGGTTCTGGAGATATATCAAAAGTCTGGAAGGGGACAAAAAATAGCCACCCCCCACCAGGGCGCGGGTTAAGAGCCTATTTGTTGTGGCGTTGGTCTGCCCCCCCCCCCCGGCCCCGCTGACGCCCCCCGCTGCCGGCAGTGATGCTGGCGGTGCGCTGTAACGACCCGTCCCGGGTGCGGCTGCTGCTGGCGATGGGAGCCGACCCGTCGCGGCCCGACACTGTGACCGGCCGCACCGCCCTCCAGCTGGCCGAGACCATCGTGAGTGACGGCCCACACACCGACAGTGGCCGCCGGCCGCCTCCAGATCAGAGCAGATCAGCAACGGTGACACTATTACTAGCCGAGTGGGGACCATTCCGACAGGTTTTGTTTCTGTACGAAAAAAAAACTTCTTCAGTTCCCGAAACCACCTATGATTTTCACTGGCGGATCCAGGCTTGCGTTTTGGGGGGTAACTCATGCAGGAGTCAAACCTAGGGTATCCCCAAATTCTGTTTTCTCATCGGATTTAGGCCACTTATTTTTCGTCACAGCCCTGACACTGTGAACATTTTTTTTAACTAAAAAGAAAAATATATAAATGGTAGCCCACCCGACCCATGCCTTTATATTACTTTGTAAACACTTACCATTGCTTTGGTCGACCAGTTAACCCGCTTCGAGTCAGTGCTTGGGTCCCGTTGCGGGCCAGGAGGTGGTAAAACACCCCCTGTCTAACTCGGCTCCTGGGCCACGCACTGATTGAACTATGTTTCATTATCGTTTGGGGGAGGGGGCAAACAGGCCACTTTAGGCCTCTGGGAAGGGGGCATGGCCCTAAATGCCCCCTCCCTGGATCCGCCAGTGTAAGAGACCATTGGAGCTGCAGTTGGGTACCTCAGACGTCAGGGTACGCCCTCAGATGTATAGGACTCGCGTGGAGACCTCTTATGCTATAGTGGACTGAAAGGACCCAAAGGAGCCCGTCTAGGGCTCCCGGAGATAGACGTGGGCCCTCAGGAGCCCACCAGAGCCCCCAATGAGGGATAAGTGAGGGATACCAAGTGCCTACAATTGCATATTGCATAAGCCATAACGCCTTTACAAATCAATATACACGTATTATGTATCAGTGGCAGATCCAAGGGGGGGGGGGCCACATGGGTCATGACCTCCCTTGGTGCCCGGGGGCACCACAGGCCTGTAAGGGGCACCACCGGCCTAGCAGGGGCACCACCGGCCTAGCAGGGGCACCACCGGCCTAGCAGGGGCACCACCAGCCCGCCAGGGGCACCACAGGCCTAGCAAGGGCACCACGGGCCTGTGAGGGGCCCCACAGGCTTGTCAGGGGCACCCCAGGTCTGTCAGGGACACCGGAGACCTGCCAGGGGCACCACCAGCCTCGCAGGGGCACCATGGGCCTGTCAGGGGCACCAGAGGCCTAGCAGGGGTACCACAGGCCTTACAGGGGCACCACCGGCCTTGCAGGGGCACCTTGGGCCTGTCAGGGGCACCACAGTCCTGTCAGGGCCCAGGGGCACCAGCGGCCTAGCAGGGGCACCACAGGCCTGCCAGGGGCACCACCGGTCTAGCAGGGGCACCACCGGCCTCGCAGGGGCACCACAGGCCTGCCAGGGGCACCACCGGTCTAGCAGGGGCACCATGGGCCTGTCAGGGGCCCCACCGGCCTCGCAGGGGCACCAACGGCCTCGCAGGCATCACGGCATCACGCAGGGGCACCTTGGGCCTGTCGGGGGCATCACGGGTCTGTTGGGGGCACTTTAGGCTTGTCAGGGGCACCACAGTCCTGTCAGGTCCCAGGGGCATCAGCAGCCTAGCAGGGGCACCCTAGGCCCGCCACAGGCACCACAGGCCTGCCAGGGTCCAGGGGCACCACAGGCCTAGCAAGGGCACCACGGGCCTGTCAGGGGCACCTCAGGCTCCCGTGTCCCTCCCCCCCCCCCCTGGATCCGCCAGTGATGCCACACCACGCGAAACACCGCCAACTGCCAGCTGCCGCGCCATAAACACGTGCCAACAACAGTCTTTTTGAAGGTCGACTCCGCTTGCGCAGCTTTTGACTGACCCTCACTGCTACCATATTGCTCCCATATTATGCTGTGGAAAGCTTTACTTTGACCAAGTGGCAAACCTCCATCAAGGTATATTTTCTTAGCAATTTTTCTGACGTTTTTGGGGGCCAAACAGGCCACTTTAGGCCTTTGGGGGGGGGCATGGCCCTAAATGCCCCCCCCCCTGGATCCGCCAGTGAAGATTTTTGACAACGCGAGAAATAGAGTATATGTGAGAAAGATGATGGCCGATTGGCTTTACTAAAATCTGTACCATATTTGCTCATAAATAACAAAGTTCAATAGATCCAATTCTCGTTTCAGGCGTTTCCAAAAGATAGTGATGTCCTCAGCAAATAGTTATATGTACTGGCACCTGGAAAGCTCCCAGTTTCGTGGTGCCGCTCAGATTACAGGGGTGGTTGCTAAATACGCCAATATAGGTCACTGTAGCCGTTTGCTGTTTCCTAGCCTGATGCCGTTCCCCGGGCGGCCATTGGCCAATCCTAGAGGTGACGACTCGGCTGAGGCGGTCCCTGAGCGCTGACTGTGCCGCTGACTGTGCCGCTGTCGACAGGGCTCGGTCCCTGAGTGCTGCCTGTGTGCCGTGCCGCTGGCGGCAGGGCTCGGTCCCTGAGTGCTGACTGTGTGCCGCTGACTGTGCCGCTGGCGGCAGGGCTCGGTCCCTGAGTGCTGACTGTGCCGCTGACTGTGCCGCTGGCGGCAGGGCTCGGTCCCTGAGTGCTGACAGTGTGCCGCTGGCGGCAGGGCTCGGTCCCTGAGTGCTGCCTGTGCCGCTGACTGTGCCGCTGGCGGCAGGGCTCGGTCCCTGAGCGCTGACTGTGCCGCTGACTGTGCCGCTGGCGGCAGGGCTCGGTCCCTGAGTGCTGCCTGTGCCGCTGACTGTGCCGCTGGCGGCAGGGCTCGGTCCCTGAGTGCTGCCTGTGTGCCGTGCCGCTGACTGTGCCGCTGGCGGCAGGGCTCTGCCGAGGCGGCCGCCGTGCTGCGGGAGGCGCCCGGCCCGGCCGGCCCGGCGGAGGCGGCGCCCGGCCCGGCGGAGGCGGCGCCCGGCCCGGTGGAGGGGGCGCCGCCGCGCCCGGTGGACGCCTACCGCAGCTGGTGGCACGCGCTGGTGGGAGACTCCCGGGAGCCGGCCGAGCCGGGCCGGCCGGCCGCCGCCCAGCCGCGCCGCCCCATCCGCCACACCAGCAACCTCGCACAGGTGAGACATCAGCGGACCCGTGCACCCGACGGGTCTACTACGTCCTGTAACTTTCATCTTCCTGTGAAAGTTCCTCTGGCACTGAGGGCGTTGCAAAGTTGCAACATCTGAGGACCTCGCACAGGTTTATTTATGACGTCATAGGTCAGTGACCTGACCTGACCTGAAAACGCAGTTGAGGTCAAAAGATCCAGTTTGAATAAAAGATTAGGTATACCAAGTCTCAGCTGTCTACCCTAAGCGAGTTTTAAAGGTAGTGTGCCACCTTTGAAAGATTTCCCATTTTATTTTTCCTAGGATAAGAAGCTTCTGTTTTTACCTAATATCGCAAAAAAAAAAATCAAAAATGGGCCTGGAATAGTGCCTTTTTCGCCTAAAAGTTTTTCGGTTTTTAGATATGTATAACAACTGTAGTGGGCTCACCTGCAAACAGGCGTCGGGCAACAATCGCGAATGCGGCGCACTTGTGACAATAAGCAAAGGTCATTATAGTGTTACGACCATACGACGTACGGGAATGAGTTATCAGCTGTCTAATCGTAGACAACACAATGTCGAGCCTTAAACTGTAAGCCCGTATTGGTATTGTTTCTTTTATTTGGCTGTCAAACATTATTTATGGTTTGAAATATGATTTTATGTAAAATAATTGATATGAAAAAGCCGTCTTATAAGTTATGACCCCATTTCACAACACGCAAGTGGCAGAAATGACAATGATCAGCTGACGCATTTTTCTTGGCCGAAGCCAGAGCGCGCGGCCCGACGCACCACGCGTATTTGGAAATTCCGACCTCGACGAGCATCAGAAGCCACCTAACAGGCGTGTTCGAAACCGCAGGAGATGATGATGAACGGGTTTATCGAAACTTGATTGGATGAGCATATCGGTAATAGCGATTTCAGTGTGTGCATTTATTGTTCATAGTGGTGTGAAATGTGGTTGGGGTACGACCGACAACCCGTCGGGGCGAATTTCGCACTGGGGTACTCAAAATTTGAAGAATTTAAGACGTTTCCATGAGTTTTGAAGGTATGGATAAGTTCTAAAAATCCGGTTCTCCTTATCTGGGCCATTAACTCCATACGGTCCAAGAAAGCTAGCACACTACCTTTAAGCTATCGCGAAAAGCCCTATGAGGCGGCACCCGCCCCACCCCTTCTCGGCCGACGAGGGTTAAAGGGACCCTCCCACCTTCAAAAAAGTTTATGAATTGGCATGAAAGTGATGTCGCTCGGTTCAGAAAGAGCAAAAACAAATATCTACCAAATTGCATCGAAGAATATTCACCGGTTTTCAAGATATTAGACTTTTACTTTTGTTTGCTTTTTGGGATCTCCGCTGTTCCTAGCGACTTCATTTGAAAGTGCGGCATTTGTTGCGCGCAAAGCAGCATATACCTTCGCGTGCTACAAAACGTTTTAGTCAAACATTTAAAAATCGTTAGATATCTGCGCTGACGTCACACATTCAGAGGGGTATTCCTATGCATTAGCCCCTCTGAATCAAAATGCTGCAATTTTGAAATTCAATATTTCCGATTTAAGGCATTTCTCGATGTTGTGAGTGCCGAAACCGGTAATTGTGAGCCAGGGACCCCATTTTGGCTATCTCAACTCAAATCTAATGTTAAGGTGGGAGGGTCCCTTTAATGTACTAGTTCATGTACATGTATGCGCAGATATAGTATCATCTCAGCTAAAATATATCTTTAATTCATGTTCGACACATTCTAGTGTTGTTACAAAAATTAACTCATTATATTTTCAATTTATGACTATTATGCCTGACGAAAATCTATTTTTCAAAAAATAGGTGCTTTCTCCAAAATGGAAATTTTTCAGATCTCGGGGACCACACCATCGGATTCCTCGCAACATTTTGATCCAGAAAACACCAAAATTGGAGATGGGTATTTTCAAAAGTTATTTACCGTCTTTTGGGGCAATGTGTCGTGTGCTGCCACTGCCAGGTCAGTGCCCCCCCCCCCCCCCGCCCGCCCGCCCGCCCGCCAGGTCTGTGTCGGCGGGTTACAGACAAAAGAACGTATCGCTAAAGTACGTAGGACAGAAATACGTGAGCAAAAGTACGTAGGACAAAAGTACGTATCGCAAATGTTCGTACAGTATAAAGTAGGGTAGACCGGGGCAAGTCGCCCCGCCGAGGTAAAACGCCTCACCGATGTTTCTCGGAACTGGCAAGGTTCTGGAGAAACATCATCTCTTCTATAAAACGTGCACTATATGATCATTATATGAGCAGACTGGAACGAAATTGTGATGACTCTTTAGGGAGACATAGCCAAAAATGTGTTTTTGGAGTGATTTTTATGTTTTGTTGTCAGCTTATGCATCATGGCGTTCTTTTATGGTCCACATCAGGTTAACGACTTTTATGTATTTTGAACAACTTTATCTAACGCTTATAATGCCGGGTTGGTTCGTGTTAAATTATGCCTTGCTGGAGTGCAAGGCGTTGTTCTCTGACCGAACTACGTGATGGGGTAAAACGCCCCAGTAGGTCACGGGGCAAAACGCCCCATGGGGCGTTTTACCTCATGTGTTGTTCGGACTACCCACTTCCTAATGTTCGGTAGCTGGCTAACAGTAAGTTTCTATGCATTTATATGTACTTTTCTCAGCAACTGGATGGCAAAGGAAGAATTTTGTTAACATTTCCATTGCAATAATTTATTATTTGGCCTTATGAGGCAGGTGAAAAACCTGCTCATAAAATAGTGTCATAGCTGAACACCTGATAGGATGGAAGGAGCTAACTTCAGTGCCGTGCTTCCCAAGGTCTAACAGACCTCTCATATAAAATTTAAGTCAACTAGCATGTTTAATCTTTAATCTAGAGTATGGGGCTTCTTGCCCCAGGCCGTGGGGCGTTTTGCCCTGGGGTTGGGGCAAAATGCCCCATTTGCAGTTGCTTCACAAATCACTTCCTAGCTAGGAGTCCGATCATAAGTGAATGAATTTGAGGGATGGAATTTAAAGTAAAATGTCCAAAGAACGCATTGAGCACAAATTTGGCCTTCCAGGTGATGTGGGACAAAAGTTATGTAGCAAAATAAATTATCTGGGGCGTCTTGCCCCAGGCTACCCTACGTATAGACAAAAGTGCGTCAAGGACAAAAGTACGTATCGCAAAGGTACGTACTGTGAACGTATGGACAAAAGTACGTGAAAGACAGATGGATTGGGGAAGTCGGCACTGTCGACTTCCTCCGGGGCATAGCGCATAACTTCAGCTTTTCAAGAAAGGACGACGTACGTCGAGCGATGGCGTGAGCGTGAACGTGAAAATAAGAAACGAGCGGTACGCTCTTTTGCATGCGTATTTTTGCGTTCAAGCGTTTTTTACACCAAACTTTTGCGGACAAGCATCTGCTTCGGCTTCCGTGCCTACTTTTGACCCATACGCACACAGTAGGGTAGGGTGGGGTAATTTGGATAATATTTTTGCGTCTACTCTGTCATACAAAATTCCAACTCAACCCTGGAGAAAGAACAGCTGTTTCAGTAGCGCCAATGTCACTTCCTTTCAACATGCAAACCTAATTTTTGAACGAGATGAGCATGCCTGAAAAAGTATAGTCTTCTTACTTCTCCACCAAGTCACAGTGTGTTCAAATTGCCCCACCGGTGGGGTAATTTGAACAGTCTATATTTGTACGCCATAAAAACCATCATTTCGCCATCACCGATGGTGTTTACCGTTTGGTACATCAACAAATAGGCACAACAGTTCCGAACACAGCTATATTTAAAAAACAACACAACGACGAAAATAGCAGTTGCCGAGTATTCATATCTGCTCGCTGCACACCGGTTGCAGTTGACAGAGGTCTGCCGACAAACAGAACTTACGTCTGTCATCTCCGTTCAATAAAATCTACCCCAACCTTACACATCTGTTATCTTGATGCCAGTCGGAACTTGGACCTTCGGAATTCGGATTTTGTCCAATTCGTCTAATTCGTTATTTTGCTAGACAAAGGCAGCAGGCTTTGGACAACACTGGACAATCATTTGCTACACCCTAGCAGACTGGTGTTTGATTCATCTGTGATTGAATCGATTGGATTGAGTCAAACAAAATTTGTTGAATCAAAAAGGTTTGATTCACCGTCAGGATTGTTTGATTCACAAGCCATGATTGAATCAAACGCATTGGGAATCAGGGTTGATTGAATCAAAAAAATTAATGATTCATGAACTTGAAAAAATTGAAGTGAACGAACATAGTTCATTACCAACAAATATTAACACTACTGCCATTACATGACAACAAAAAGAACACAACAAATACAATACTGTCCCTGATATTTTGTATATTTTATTTTTTAATTGAATCAAAAAAGAATCATTCAAAGAAATTTTCGCTGAATCAAACGTGAATCATTCCTTTTATTGTTTTTTGATTCTCTGAATCAAAAGGAATCGATTTACCAAATTTTTTGAAGGAATCAAACGGTGATTGAATCAAACAAAAGTCAAATGAATCAATGATTGAATCGATCCAAAAAAGGTGAATCAAAAACCAGTCTGCACCCTAGCTTTTTTATAAAGTATTTGTGTGTAGCATTGATTGACGAATAGAAAACTAGGCCTCTCCATATGATAAACACTTTTGGGCTGGTAATAGCTAGATTACTTTACTACTCAGTAATAATACATTAAAAGGAAATTACTTTACAGTGCTGAGTGTTAATTATTGCTTAGTTTTCGTATATATTTGGACAAATGGCTGGCTTGGACATAGACTTTCTTGCCATGGGCGTCGCCACCACTGGTCCGTGTCGTTGAGATGAACCATGATGAGCGAACACATCCAATGTGTTCCCATCCGACGAAATGTGTCCATACAAGTTTGGAGACCGTGGCGATGCCCCTGTAACTCCAGCGTTCTTTTTTTTTTACGTACGTACTTTTGTCCTGCGTACCCTTGCATGCTTACTTTCGCGTGCGAACATTTGCGTACGTACTTCTGTCCTACGTACTCTACACTATACGTGCCTTTGTATACGTACATTTATTTTCGCGTAATAATACTATCACTTTTGCATACGTTCTTTTGCTTACGAACATTTGCGTACATACTTTTTGCCTACGTACTTTTGCGTACGAACATTTGCGTACGTACTTTTGTCCTACGTACCTTTGCGGTACGTTGGGTAGCCTGGGGCAAAACGCCATAGATAATTTATTTTGCTGCCTAACTTTTGTCCCACATGACGTGGAAGGCCAAATTTGTCCTCAATGCGTTCTGTGGACATTTTAACTCAAATTCCACCCCTCAAATTCATTCACTTATGATCGGACTCCCAGCTAGGAAGTGATTTGTGAAGCAACTGCAAATGGGGCATTTTGCCCCAACCCCAGGGCAAAACGCCCCACGGCCTGGGGCAAGAAGCCCATACTCTAGATTAAAGATTAAACATGGGTGTTGGCTAAATCTTATATGAGAGGTCCGTTAGACCTCTGGAGGCACGGCACTGAAGTTACCACATTCCATCCTATCAGGTGTTAAGCTATGACGCTATTGTATGAGCAGCTTTTTCACATTCCTCATAAGGCCAAATAATAAATAATTGCAATGCAAATGTTCACAAAATACTTCCTTTGCCATCCAGTTGCTGAGAAAAATACATATAAATGCATAGAAACTTACTGTTTGCCAGCTACCGAACATTAGGAAGTGGATAGTCCGAACAACACGTGAGGTAAAACGCCCGAGATGGGGCTTTTTGCCCCGCGACCTACTGGGGCGTTGTTTTACCCCATCACGTAGTTCGGTCAGAGAACAACGCCTTGCGCTCCAGCAAGACATAATTTAACAAACCCGGCATTATAAGCGTTAGACAATAGTTGTTCAAATTACATTAAAGTCGCTAGCCTGATATGGACCGTAAATGAACGCCATGATGCATAATCAGACAACAACACATAAAAATCACTCCCAAAACACATTTTTGGCTATATCTCCCTAAAGAGTTACTACAATTTCTTTCCAGTCTGCTCATATAATGATCATATATTCATATATACGTTTTATAGAAGAGAGGATGTTTCCCCAGAACCTTGCCAGTTCCGAGAAACATCGGTGAGGCGTTTTACCTCGGCGGGGCGACTTGCCCCGGTAGCTCGGTACTTTGGTCTGCGGATCCTGTGTGGCGTCGCCGCCGGTCTGGCTGACGCTGCTGCCACCTGTCGGCAGGCCCGCGAACTGCTGCACAGCGCGCGCCGCCGCCGCATGGCGCGCGAGGTGGGCTCCGTGCTGGACCAGCTGCAGGGGCTCAGTCTGACGCGCCGCGCCGAGCAGCCGCCCGAGCGCCGGCCGGACGTGAGCCGGGCGCTGGGCCGGCTCTCCCTGACATCTGGCGGCGGGGAGGACAACTGCAGCCTGGCGGCGCCTTCGCCGGGCGGCGCTGGCGGCCTCGGCTGACGCTCGCCGCTGGCGGCAGTCCTGGCGCCAGGGCCGCCCTTAGGTCCAATGCGGGGAGGGGACGACGCAGACACCCATTTACATACACATCCGCCAAAAGATGAGTTGGGGATGTTTTGTGGTGGATACTGGGTAATGCTAGATGAATGAGGGGATTTTTCAGGTACCTAGATGTCACCATTGCATCAACAGAAACAAAAACGCATCGGCCATATGCAACAGCTGCGACGTACCATTTCGATTTTTGGTGCAAAAGGGTCTTTTTTGTCTTGGCATTTGCGACCGATCTCACAGAAATGCTCGTTTTGCCGCACCGGGTACTTTGTAGCCTTGTAGCGCGCCCTAGTCGGGTCCTCTTGTCTGTGATGGGACACGTTATTTGATAGCCGTTTTAGCAGTAAGAGAATCCACCTTTTGATGTGATTTATTTTGCATTTACACTTAAACAATTATATAATTTGGCCTTTCTTATCAAGCATCATGTAATGCTCTTTTCAATGAACGCTCAAAAGTCGCGAGCGTAACTTATTTCCGACTGGATTGCTGTTTGGCGCTGGGGACGCTCACTTTGTAGGGATCACTGTGTGCCGACCTGTGTGTCCTAGGGAACTGTGAACAGTACTGCGCGGTGCCACGGCGGCCGTGTGTACCGCCCCGTGTACTGTGTGTGCACTGTGGGCCGCCCTGTACCGCTCTGTGGGCTGTGGGCCGCCCTGTACCGCTCTGTGGGCTGTGTGTACCGCCCCGTGTACCGTGTGACCGTGTACCGCCCCGTGTACTGCTCTGTGGGCCGCCCTGTACCGCTCTGTGGGCTGTGTGTACCGCCCCGTGTACCGTGTGACCGTGTACCGCCCCGTGTACTGCTCTGTGGGCCGCCCTGTACCGCTCTGTGGGCTGTGTGTACCGCCCCGTGTACCATGTGACCGTGTACCGCCCTGTGTACTGCTCTGTGTACCGTGTACCGCTCTGTGGGCCGCCCTGTACCGCCCTGTGTACCGCTCTGTGGGCCGCCCGTGTACCGCCCTGTGTACCACTCTGAGTACCGTGGGTACCGCTCTGCACTGTGTGCGCCGCTCGTCTGTGTGTCGGCTGCCGGGGCGGTCTGTGTGTCGGCTGGTCCGTGTGTCGCCTGGCGGGGGCGGTCTGTGTGTCGGCTGGTCTGTGTGCCGCTCGTCTGTGTCGGCTGGCGGGGCGATCTCGGGACCGGCCTGTGTGCCGTCAGGATATCTGGGGCCGGTCGATTGGACTGGTCCGTGTCGCTGTGGAGCTCCCTGGTGCCAGAGGACGGGCCGACCGATTGGACTGGTCCGTGTCCAGCTGTGGAGCTCCCCTGGTGCCAGAGGACGGGCCGGCCGGCTCGACTGGTGCCAGAGGACGGGCCGGCCGGCCCGACTGTGTTCAGTGCCGCCGTTTAAAAACGACTGCACCACGAGACCGCTGTCGGGCCGGCGTCTGGAGCCCGGGCGCAGTCACTGTCCTGAAAACGGGGAGCTGACTGACTTTGCCCATTCATAGTTGATCTTAGGGAAGAATGTTTTGAAAAGGCAGGTTTTCACGTGGTTTTCACAATGACGAAGTTGGACGCAAGTCTTCTGCATCGTTGTCATTGCATCTCAACATTTCGTCTCCATTTTTGAAGCACTTGCTCAGAATCGTATAGGAGAGGGCCTGATAGCTAGCGTGATGTATGTATTGTATACTGTATAGGGTGTGCGCTGACACGGAGTGCTTGCTTTGCCGGATTTGTGTATCCTTTCGGTGTCGGAAGGTGGCATGGTTGTCGAGCTCACCACTGCTCCCGGCCCTTTGGCATTGGTACTTTTGATAATAAATTTGAAGAAAAAACAGTGCGGTGTGTAACGACTGGTTGTGCTGTGCTACATCGGCTGAACTGAACTGAGGCTATAACTGAACTGATCATCACCGCGAAGGGAGATCGAATCGACGGCAGAAACGCGTGGGCAGAGTGAAAAATCAAACGGCTACGTATCAGCATTTTCGCGCATGTTTGGGTCTAGTTTTGATGGATTGGATGCCTTGGTTTAGCTTCTGGGGGGCTTTATTGCTGCACGCTATTTTGTTTTGGGATTAAGTTGCGATTGTTTTCTCTGCTATCAGTTTATTTGTTCAGTGAAAAAAAAAATTATTGTCTGTATACGCTGCGTCTAGATGGCGTTTTAGTGAATCATTTGTCCGAATTATTTGGCCCCTGTTACATTGCTGATAAGAATCGAAACTGCGAAAAATCGCCCGCAAGATGACACGCTGCCAGCTCATGCAAACGAACGATAATATGAACACCAATTGGCAGTCGGCAGATGTGAGTACCGACCGAGACAGCCGGTCGTTCCGCCGTTGAACCCGCGCCCCAGTCCCAGTGGCGGTCCCAGCCAAGTCTCAGCCAACTTCGCCATAGTGGGGGAGGCATATGTTACCACACAACTCCAACTCAAAAACTAAGAGGGCTAGAAAGACGCGGTTAAAAGCAGTCGATAGCTCTCAATGCGTACGTTTGAAAGTATTTCAGTCATTTTTCATCTAAGAGCAATATTGGGGTCACCAGACGTCATCAAAGGTCAAAATTTACCAAGTGTCATGATATTTTTCAGAAAACATGCCGTTATCTCAGGAACTATGATAGCTAGAAAAACGCATGGAAAAGCAATCGATAGCTTTTGAACTCTTCTTTTGATAAGGTCATCGTCAAAATTGACGTCAGGTCAACGGTTAAACGTCCATAGGTCAAACATTGTGAAAATAGCTGTTTTTGGATAACACTTTTTTCACGAATCACTTTTAAACCAGCAAAGATAAAGAATTGGCAATCGCACTATCGTGTTTCTCTCCTTCAGGCGCTTCGAAACATATGTTTTTTTTTTACCCGGAAAGGTCAAGGTAAAATTTTGATTTCAGGTCAAGGTCACGTCGTGACCATAGGTCATGTCATGTTGCATATCATTCGATGCGTCTCGACAAGACAAACACAATGAAGCTATCCCCAGCGTTCTATCTCTTTCCAATCGAGAGTTATTGACAAAAAGCTGTTTGTAGCCTCAAATGACCTCGGATGACCTTTCTAGATCAATCTTTCTTTCTAGTCTTTTTTTAGATGCTATCGGCAAAAAGACACCTTGTTCGTCACGGGGGGTCCAAATCATTGTGATTCTGAAATATTCGAACTGTTCCTATGCATACACACGTTTCTATAGAGGCATTTTCATTTTTCTCCATTGACTTATTATAATGGAAAGGTCACGCCACTGGCCTGACCTTAGGTCAGTTATAAAAATCCGAGATATAAAAATTATAGGTGCCCATAACATCATGCAATCCACCAAGTTTAAAACCTCTCTGTCAAACACCCCAGGCATTCGGGGTGACGTCGGCATCTCGGCATCAGCATGCCGACGTCGGCCCGACGTCGGTCCAACCTCGGCACGACGTCGGCTGGATGTCGGGTATGCCCGCATATACCGACGTCCAGCCGAGGTCCAGCCGACGTCGGGCCGACGTCGGACCGAGATCAATTGCTGAGGTCCAGCCGACGTCGGGCCGACGTCGGGGTGACGTCGGACCGACATCGGCCGCTGTTTTGACCGTTAAAATAATATAAAATGCATGTTTCATGTTTCATAAAGAGCTTCTGTACTCAAAATATCCTCAGGAAACTCAAATCTTCCTTCACGCCGCAACCCCCTGATCCGGACTGGACGGGAAACTTTATCCCATTTGGGATTGCCCGTAAGCCGAGCTCGCCCGTAGCCGGATGCGGTGAGTGCTTGGGGGCTGCTCGGCCTATCCTTTGGTCAGGCTCAGCCCCGGCAACTCACCAGGGCCGGGCCCAGTTCATATAGAAAGGCCAGTCGGCAAGTGTCACTTTGCCAAAGTGACACTTATCAAAGGGACACTTTGGGAAACAGTGCAGGTGTGTAAGGGTGGCTATATGAATACATTTGTGGGGTCGCCCTTTCCAATAAGTGTCACGTAACAGCAATGGGACTCTATATGAACTTGACCCAGGGTGCTCGCCAAGAAGACCAATGTCTCATGTTGATCAAGACAGCCCATATTCAGCCCAGATTCAGCCCGGATTCAGCTCAGATTCGGGACATCTCCGATCAAGCTGAAAATCGCACACAATGTAGGACCTGACATGCCCAATCCACAGTCCAAGTCATTCGGCGGCACTCCTAGCCGTTTGACCTACAGAGGTCAGCAAAGGTCACGTGGCCCAAATTTGCACAGCAGATTGTGGCTCACCCAGTAGAGCTAGACCGCTACAAATGGCACCAATCGACTCGCTAGCATCTAATCTTACTTTCCCAACACTCATCAGACCTCTCAAGGTCATGTGATGACCTAAGGTCATTTGTGGGCTATGTCGAAAATACACTTGCACAGCAGTTTTCGAGTAGATGGATTAACCGAATTCCAAATCAAAGCACATCATCGGGTAGCCCATAGGCCGTAGTAACTTTCCTTAAAACCGCTGCTTGATATGGGACCCCGTTTGACCTCGGCAGGTCAAAATGTGCAAATAAACGACACTCAATACGTCGCAGCCCGGATTCAGCCCAGATTCGGGACACCTCTGATCAAGCTGAAACTCGCACACAATGTAGGCCATGACATGCCCAATCCACAGTCCCAGGCATTCGGTGTCACTCCCAGCCGTTTGACCTACAGAGGTCAGCAAAGGTCACGTGGCCCAAATTTGCACAGCAGATTGTGGCCCACCCAGTAGAGCTAGAGCGCTAAAAATGGCACCAATCGACTCGCCAGCATCTAATCTTAGTATCCCAACACTCATTTGACCTCTCAAGGTCATGCGATGACCTAAGGTCATTTGTGGGCTATGTCGAGAATACACTTACACAGCAGTTTTCGAGTAGAGGGATTGACCGAATTCCAAAGCAAAGCACATCATCGGGTTGCCCATAGACCGTAGTAATTTTCCTTGAAAACCGCTTTTCGATATGTGACCCCGTTTGACCTCGGCAGGTCAAAATGAGCAAATAAACGACACTCAATACGTCCCAGCCCGGATTCAGCCCAGATTCGGGACACCTCCGATCAAGCTGAAACACGCACACAATTTAGGCCATGACATACCCAATCCACAGTCCGAGTCATTCGGTGGCACTCTCAGCCGTTTGACCTACAGAGGTCAGCAAAAGTCACGTGGACCAAATTTGCACAGCAGATTGTGGCCCACCCAGTAGAGCTAGAGCGCTAAAATGGCACAATTCGACTCGCCAACATCTAATCTTACTTTCCCAACACTCATTTGACCTCTCAAGGTCATGCGATGACCTAAGGTCATTTGTGGGCTATGTCGAAAATACACTTGCACAGCAATTTTCGAGTAGAGGGATTGACCGATTTCCAAATCAAAGCACATCATCGGGTAGCCCATAGGCCGTAGTAACTTTCCTTAAAAACCGCTTTTCGATATGTGACCCTGCTTGACCTCGGTAGGTCAAAATGTGCAAATAAACGACACTCCATACGTCGCAGCCCGGAGTAGGCCCAGATTTGGGACATCTCTCATCAAGCTGAAAATCGCACAAAATGTAGATACTGACATGCCCAATCCACAGTGCGAGTGATTCGGTGGCACTCCCAGGCGTTTGACCTACAGAGGTCAGCAAAGGTCACGTGATCCAAATTTGCACAGCAGAATGTGGCCCACCCAGTAGAGCTAGAGCGCTAAAAATGGTACCAATCGACTCGCCAGCATCTAATCTTAACTTCCCAACACTCATTTGACCTCTCAAGGTCATGCGATGACCTAATTTTTACAATTTGTGGGCTATGTCGAAAATACACTTGCACAGCAGTTTTCGAGTCGAGGAATTGACCGATTTCCAAATCAAAGCACATCCTCGGGTAGCCCATAAGCCGTAGTAACTTTCCTTAAAACCGCTATTCGATATGTGACACCGTTTGACCTCGGCAGGTCAAAATATGCAAATAAACGACACTCCATACGTCGCAGCCCGGATTCAGCCCAGATTCGGAACATCTCCGATCAAGCTGAAAATCGCACACAATGTAGATCCTGACTTGCCCAATCCACAGTCCGAGTCATTCGGTGGCACTCCCAGCCGTTTGACCTACAGAGGTCAGCAAAGGTCACGTGGTCCAAATTTGCACAGCATATTGTGGCCCACCCAGTAGAGCTAGAGCGCTAAAAATGGCACCAATCGACTCGCCAGCATCTAATCTTACGTTCCCAACACTCATTTGACCTCTCAAGGTCATGCAATGACCTAAGGTCATTTGTGGGCTATGTCGAAAATACACTTGCACAGCAGTTTTCGAGTAGAGGGATTGACCGATTTCCAAATCAAAGCACATCATCGGGTAGCCCATAGGCCGTAGTAACTTTCCTTAAAAATCGCTTCTCGATATGTGACCCCGCTTGACCTCGGCAGGTCAAAATGTGTAAATAAACGACACTCAATACGTTGCAGCCCGGATTCAGCCCAGATTCGGAACACTTCAATTTATGGACAAGAAGCCTGCCAACGCTTATGTACTCAAAGTCTGAACTCGATATCTTTTCAATTGCGGTAATAGCCAATCAAATCTAACGGTATAAAAAATTACAAAATGCTCTTAAAAACACATTACTGTGCACAGCCATCAACATTCCCGGCACTTTCGCTTCAAACTCCGATGGGAAAGGGCAAGACAGTACAGTCGTGTACAGGTTGATGGTCCCCTACTCTTTATCCACCGGGTTCCTATGGCTCAGCATTGGCAGCAGCCGCCTGGTACCGGTAGGCTGTGCCGCATGACCCGAGAGTGAAGCGGCACAGTCTACCCACGCCGTTTGACATCGGCTCGGGTCGCCGGGTGGAGCGCTTTGTAGACCAGCTGTTGCGTCAGACCAGCGCGGGGGGAGGGGCTCGTCTCGGTGGTTGGCGTGGGCTGGCGAGTGGTGTGGGGCGTGTTGGTGGACCATGGGGGCTAGGCGGGTGTGTGTGGTCACTTGCTGCATTGCACATTTTGCGTCGCTTAACAATTGCATTCCTGTTTTTGCTAGGCACAATGCACGGAAGATCTAGCGAATATAATTCACTTTACTTGTGCATTGTGCAAAACGTGATTTGGCACGGTATCGAGGCAACCATAGGTCTTGTGCCTATGCATGATATTTAGGCAATACGTTTATGAAAACGGTAGATTGATGCTGGATGTCAATTCGTATTGCTAAATGTCGGCACGTATTAAATGAATGAATGAATCAATCAATCAATCAAACAATCAATAGACATGTATAAAACCGTTTAAATGGCTCGCAACCACTAATAGCAATCACACCATCCTAACTCGGAAAAGCAGCCGGAGCCCTGATGAGGCTCGAACCGGGACTCCACGCTGTAAATTTTGCCAATGATCCATCATCATTCCACCAAGCTAGAGTAACCGGCATCCGAACCCACAAAAACATTTGACTTTGCCGCCGACCTCCCGGCCCCGCCGCCCGCCCGGCCAGACTTTGCCCCGGCCACAGCCACTCATCCGTTGTAGCTCAGCGTAGGAGCGCTCGACTGTCAAACTGACCGGTAGTGAGGGCCCCGGTTCGAAACGCTTCGGATACTGGATGTTTATTTCTCGGTGGGAGGCTTTACGTTTAGTCCACTTTTCAGAAAGATCATTTGGTGACTGACCTGTTTTCTTTCTTTGCTGCAATTCATGAGGAGACCGTATGCACCCTTACCTGTCCTTCCGCACCCCACTTGGGAGATGGGTGGTTGCCCCCCCCCCCCCATGGCTTTGTGAATATCTCTAAAACAAATTTTTAGAGGGGGGATACGATCGGTTCTATGCGACAAGTGACCACACACGCCCAGCCCCAGGTCCGCTCACTCCCTACCCATATCACCCCTCCCCACACCACACTCCAGCCCGCCTCATCCACCGAGCCGAGCCATAACGAGCCTCAGCGCCCCGGGGCGCGACCTGTCAGCGAACACTGTTATATAATAACAGTGACAATATATCAAATCCGTGAACTCCTCTATGAATGTCGTCTCGCAGATCCGGCAGTTTGGACTTCAACGAATGAATGTTGAGGTGTCCAATTATCAGGTCTGGTCCAGTGTCGCCGTGGCGGCGCCAGCTCGCGCCGCCTCGATGTCCCCGACGCCTGGACGCGCCCCTGCCCCCGCGGCGCACGCAACCGCCGGCCTGCGTCCCCGCCGGTTCGCTGACAGGTCGCGCCCCGGGGCGCTGAGGCTCGTTATGGCTCGGCTCGGTGGATGAGGCGGGCTGGAGTGTGGTGTGGGGAGGGGTGATATGGGTAGGGAATGAGCTGACCTGGGGCTGAGCGTGTGTGGTCACTTGTCGCATAGAACCGATCGTATCCCTCCTCCAAAAATTCGTTTTAGAGATATTCACAAACCCATGGGGGGGGGGCAACCACCCATCTCTCAAGTGGGGTGCGGAAGGACAGGTAAGGGTGCATACGGTCTCCTCATGAATTGCAGCAAAGAAAGAAAACAGGTCAGTCACCAAATGATCTTTCTGAAAAGTGGACTAAATGTAAAGCCTCCCACCGAGAAATAAACATCCAGCATCCGAAGCGTTTCGAACCGGGCCCCTCACTACCGGTCAGTTTGACAGTCGGGCGCTCCTACGCTGAGCTACAACGGATGGTGGCTATGGCCGGGGCAAAGTCTGGCCGGGCGGGCGGCGGGGCCGGGAGGTCGGCGGCAAAGTCAATTAATGTTTTTGTGGGTTCGGGTGCCGGTTACTCTAGCTTGGTGGAATGATGATGGATCATTGGCAAAATTTACAGCGTGGAGTCCCGGTTCGAGCCTCATCAGGGCTCCGGCTGCTTTTCCGAGTTAGGATGGTGTGATTGCTATTAGTGGCTGCGAGCCATTTAAACGGTTTTATACATGTCTATTGATTGTTTGATTGATTGATTGATTCATTCATTCATTTAATACGTGCCGACATGTAGCAATACGAATTGACATCCAGCATCAATCTACCGTTTTCATAAACGTATTGCCTAAATATCATGCATAGGCACAAGACCTATGGTTGCCTCGATACCGTGCCAAATCACGTCAAGTAAAGTAAATTATATTCGCTGGGTCTTCCGTGCATTGTGCCTAGCAAAAACAGGAATGCAATTGTTAAGCGACGCAAAATGTGCAATGCAGCAAGTGACCACACACACCCGCCCAGCCCCCATGGTCCACCAACACGCCCCACACCACTCGCCAGCCCACGCCAACCACCGAGACGAGCCCCTCCCCCCGCGCTGGTCTGACGCAACAGCTGGTCTACAAAGCGCTCCACCCGGCGACCCGAGCCGATGTCACACGGCGTGGGTAGACTGTGCCGCTTCACTCTCGGGTCATGCGGCACAGCCTACCGGTACCAGGCGGCTGCTGCCAATGCTGAGCCATAGGAACCCGGTGGATAAAGAGTAGGGGACCATCAGCCTGTACAGTCTGTCTTAAAAGTACCGCGCAAAGTGACGGTGGATCCACCAAGCCTGACGGAGAAAGGGCCTGCTTTAATTTGAAAGTCACCGACCAATTGACCTAGGGAATGGACGAGGATGTCAATTGCTTCGGTGACCCAAATTTAGCAGGCCCTTCCTCAGTCAGGCTCGATGGATCCACCGTCACTTTGCGCGGTACTTTTAAGACAGACTGTACACCTATAGGTAGAATTACGCATTTTCGGTCTTAAAGCAGCTCATTCTATGGGTAAGTTTATGGGTTATAAACGCGGCTGCAATTGCCCCGTGTTATAATTGCTCCCGCTCTCCCCTATCTGCTATAGGTACGTACTTTGGGAGATATCGACTGAAAAGGAGAGGGGGGCGTTTTGCCCCCCCCCCCCTCAACAGGGCGCGGGTTGATAAGGCATGTTGCCTCTCTCTCTCTCTCTCTCTCTCTCTCTCTCTCTCTCTCTCTCTCTCTCTCTCTCTCTCTCTCTCTCTCTCTCTCTCTCTCTCTCTCTCTCTCTCTCTCTCTCTCTCTCTCTCTCTCTCTCTCTCTCTCCCCCCACGACAGTGTCAGAGTGGCCTAAACTCTCGCCCAGTCATGACCTGTAAGTTGTAACTCTCCCGCGCCGGTGTCGGGCAGTGTCGGAGCGGTCGGGAGGTCACGCGCACAGAGCTGGGCTCGGCACCGCGCAGCCCGACCGGCGCGCAGCCGGTGGTGGACCAGCGGTACGGGCCGACGGCGCGGCTGAGCCAACTGCACCCCTCAACGGACGGCCGGAGCCCCTGCGTGAGTGGCCCCGCCCCGCCCCGCCCCGGCCCGCCCGGCGCCGGACCGAGGCCCGGGGGCCGCCACTGGCTGGCTCTATGCCCTGTGTCAGTGACCAGTTTCTGTGTTCTGTTCTGAACAGGGATCCTGCAATGTGGGTTGAAGCGCGTATCACAGTCAAAGATAGGTAAAATAAGGTAAAGTTTTATAGAGAAAGCTTAAACAATGTTAACAAGAAACTAAAAGAAGGGATAAACTAAAAGAGCTGCGCCGGCGCTGCGGCTCTTTTATTTACAGCGCGACAGCCGCGAGTGCTGCACCACTGACCGCTGCACCGCTGCAGCTGCACCACTGACCGCTGCACCGCTGCAGCTGCACCACTGACCGCTGCACCGCTGCAGCTGCACCACTGACCGCTGCACCGCTGCAGCTGCACCACTGACCGCTGCACCGCTGACCGCTGCACCGCTGACCGCTGCACCGCTGACCGCTGCAGCTGCACCACTGACCGCTGCACCGCTGCAGCTGCACCACTGACCGCTGCAGCTGCACCACTGACCGCTGCACCGCTGCAGCTGCACCACTGACCGCTTCACCGCTGCAGCTGCACCACTGACCGCTGCACCGCTGCAGCTGCACCACTGACCGCTGCACCGCTGCAGCTGCACCACTGACCGCTGCACCGCTGCAGCTGCACCACTGACCGCTGCACCGCTGCAGCTGCACCACTGACCGCTGCACCGCTGCAGCGGTGGTGCAGCACTCTCACCGCTAACCGCTTATATCTGACTCATTCCCTGTGACCAGTGACCTGTGACCTGTGACCTGTGACCTGTGACCTGTGACCTGTGACCAGTGACCTGTGACCGGTGACCTGTGACCTGTGTCCCCTGACCTGTGACCTATGACATGTGACCGGTGACCTGTGACCAGTGACCTGTGACCTGTGACCGGTGACCTGTGCCCCCTGGCCTGTGACCTGTGACCTGTGGCGGCGCAGCGGTGGTGCGGCGCCGGCGGCTCGCGGGCCTCGCAGCTCTGCCTGACCGGCCGCTGCCGACGTCTGCTGGTGGCCGAACGGCGCGATAAGGAGCAGCTGGTTCAGCTGAATCGGCCGCCATACGCCGACCTCAGCCTGGAGAAGAACCCCCGCTGCTCCGCCTGCCACACGGCAGTGGACGCCCAACGCTACAGGGTGAGCCGCCGCACCGGATCCCATTGCAACCATACCACTGCACCATGCAGCTCGGCAACACGGGTGGACAATCCCCGTAGGTAGATTGCCGCCGACCAGTGCAGTGGGCACTTCGATAACGCCCAGCGATAACGATATCGAAGTCGTTATCGACGATAGGGTAGGGTGGAGCAAAGCGCCCAGCCGCCCACCCTAACTTTTCAGCCTCAGTATCTCCTTATCTTACAAATTTGAAGAACAACCAGGTAGCTGATCTGGTAGCTCATTACCTTACCTTTCGTCAAACAAAATTGCGACCTCTCCGTTATAAGTCAATAAGAGAAAATTGAAATGCGCCTCTTTTGGACGAATTTGGTTCAAAACCCTCTCAAATATTGGTTCATACATAGGTAAACATAACACACTGAATCGGAAAAATGCACCTGTGACCCTTCTGTGTGTCCCTGAGGTCATCTCAGATTATAATGAACGGTCACCAGCAGTTCTTTGGCTATAACTTTTGATGAGACGTGCTAGAGCGGCGAAAACACGTCAAATGTGTTCAGCTCGAAGATACGGATCGACTGATACAGTAGCGGCGGAACACCTTCAATTAAGGGGGGGGGGGGGGGGCACTGCCGACTTTTGGTCCCACTCTTTCCATGCAACACCCATAGGGCTAATGTTAACCCTATTCCTGGCGGGCTCCGCCGGGACAAGAAACTGGCGGGGGGGGGCCGATTCGGCCCCCCCCCCCCTGAGATCTCGAGAACGAAGCAAGGTAGCGACAAGCGGTAAACAGCATCGGATACGCACGGCCAAGATCTACAATTTTTACTAAGGTCATTTTCAGGTCAGGTCAAAGATGACGTCACAGGGGTCGAAAAAGTCAAAATGGCGGCGCTAGATATGGAGAGAGTTTTTCTCGAATAACTTTCGAATTAGTCAAGATAGGAACAAACTAAGGGCATCATCGTGATCCTCTCGTCAATCCGCATCGAATGATATATATGTTGACCTCGAAAGGTCAAGGTCAAAGGTTGACCTCAGGTCACGTGACCTCGAGGTCATCATGTATATCATTCGATGCGTCTTGACGAGCTGAACACAATGAGACTATCCACGCGTCTGTATCTTGTTCCTGTACGGAGTTATTGGCCAAAAACCTTTGGTGACCTTTGATGACGTCACATGACCTCACAGCTGCCCAACAGCAAAACAGACCTCAAGGTAGTGAAGGTTGATCGTATATGAAGTCATGTATGGTATATGGGGCCATTCCGACCCGTTTTAGTGGTAAAAACAGGGAGTTGATTTTTCCCCCATTGACTTATAATGGGGAGGTCGCGAAATTGACCTGACCTTAGGTCACCGATATCAAAATTCCGAGATATACAAATTGCACATACTGGTACCCTAACTAAACCCTGAAGAGAAGAAATTGATCGGTCAAAAACTCTAGCTCTGGCGTGATTGCAAACTTTTCTGAGGTAGGGTCACCAAACCGCCTCTGGTGACCTGACCTGAGGTCAGATCAACTCAAAATTTTCAGACATGTTGCGTAGAAGCCTTTTAGGAAAAGTCAGAAAATTTGAGCTTCCTAGCTCAACGCGTTTGGGAGAAATAACCAAAAAACCTCAGGGGGGGCTCCTGAGGCCCCCCCCCCGCCAGGAATAGGGTTAAAATGCCAAAATCAAAGGGGGCACGGTGCCCCGGTGCCCTCCCCGTTCCGCCGCCTATGGACTTATATGCAGCATGACCCTTTCCGGTCAGGTCATGACCTTGACCTGAGGTCAAATTTTCAAAATGACCTTTCAAGGTCAACGTTAAGTTCATTCGACGCGTTTCGACGAGAGGAACACGATGCTGGCACAATAAATGTTGTCACTGTCTTGAGTCAAAAGTCATTACAGAAAAATGTTTTTAATAAAAACTGCTATTTTTGGTGTTTTTGCCCTCTGGAGGCTAGTGGCAGTCAGTCACTGGAGGCAGTCATGCATGTCCACAAGTAGGAGCTGCACGCACTAGACATCGAATTGTAAAGGAGATTTGTGGAGAAAAATAATCCAGAACGTATGTCAGCGTTCGGTTGCCTCTGACTGCAGTCGCTGCTGGTATGACAATGAGTATTGAGTTGGGATCCCATGGTGGATCTCATGGTCTTAAATGTTCACGTCTTTCCTTGATTCCAATTTAGGCAATGAGTCGCAGCGTTAATCCTACATATGTGCGTGCGGTCTGAGATTCTAAGCACGGCCACCCCGGTCGACCACAGGCTGCAGCCCACTGGTCACTTTGGATCAGTGAGTGAGCTTGTATATATATTTTTTTGCAAAGAATAAAGATTGTGCCTATCGATCAACGTTTATTTTACCGTTTCGAATTCGCATGGATGCGTATTTTGAGAATAAAATGTCCGTAGCCTGAGCTCGTTTCCTATAGGTAGGAAAAATTCATCAAGATCAAGGTTTTTTATTAAAAAGAAAAACACCGGGCTGCAAATTGCATTAATTGGATTTTATGAAAATCAGCGAAAGCTGGTTCTTATACTCATATTTTGCAACACCTAGTAAATCATGCATTGTGTATTGTGTATTGTGTATTGTGCCAAGCCAACCACGGACCCAGCGGCCCATTTACAGTGGCAGTCATGCCCATAAAATACAAAAAAAAAAAACACTACATACTACTACAAAGCACGATACATTGTCTCAGATGTAAGCACCCTGAGAACGAGCAAAATCACACACATCAGAATGGATGCAGTTCGACGGAGCCAACATATCTGCATTCGGAATTTTCTGTAGAAAATTGTTGCATAGCACAGGAATGCGAATGAAAAGTCCCGACTTTTCAGTGTTCACTCTGCCGAATGCGACATGAAACAGTGCTGGCTGCCGAGAATGTCTGTTAGGGACCGCCAGACCAAACAGACTCAGAAGGTGAGGAAAGTCGATCCGTCCATGGTGCAATCCCAAAACCAGGCGGAGATCGGCTTGAATAAAGCGCGATTTCAAAGAACACATGCCAAATCGAACAAGAAGCGTCTCATAACTCATGGGCAGGTCGCGACCGTGGGTGTTGGATGCCAGCCAAGACAAGAAGCGATGCTGCATGCGCTGGAGCCGCGCCAGATGGGTTACTGCTGCGCCACTCCACACAACGCTGCCATACTCAGCAATGGAGCGAACATGGGCATTGTACGCGGCGATCAGCGCACTATGGTCAAACTTGACCCGCCGGGGACACCGAGGCAGTTGAACACCTCGCATAATCATCCCCATCATTTTCTTGCATTTCTGCACGGTCACATCGACATGCTGAGCAAACGTAAGCTTCGCGTCCAATATGACACCCAGATCACGCACCTCATGACAGCGAGTAAGCTCATGACTATCCAGTCTGTACACGGCGCGAACAGGAGATGACTTGAGTGTAAATGCATGAATGCATGAACATCACGTTACATTTTAGACTGACACCCCTGTCACTAGCTGACAATGGCATCCCTCTTAAGGGAAAAGGTCGCCCCCTCCAGCACCATGCCCCCTTTCGCTGATCTCTGGCTACGCCACTGCTTACAACTCTCCCTACCTACCGAAGTGAGTCAGGAATTCAGGATTGCGCCCATTGGCCATGACAGTGCATTGACTCGGAATCGGAGTCGGAGTCGGAGCAGATCGAAAGTTCGGAGTCGGAGTCGAATGCGGAGTCGGAACAATGCTACCATGATTCCGCCTCCCTGGTCATAAAAGGAACCGTTTTAACGTTTTCAAGTTAAATTCCAAGAAATTGACACGTACATCTGCTAGAAAAAAAGATGAACATCTGTTTGATAAAAATTAAATGAATACTACGGTTGGTAGATATTTTTACCAGGTTTGCGTCGACTTTGCTATCGCCTATCTCAGCTCAATTTGTCGGTGTAAAGCTGGGATGGCCGCTTAAAGGGGTTCCTCATAAGAAGGTAACACAATGGCTCCAGGACTATATCTCAGTCACCGACTGCCGCGCATCACTGACCACGCATTTAACGAGGCTCTCTTTCTTTTTCTTGCAGCGAGCGGGTATAGGTTAGGTACCTATATACCAGTTCACTCTATGACATGTAGACCCGGATAAAGTCCTGTATGGGCTGCCGGCAGATGGGGCAGGCATCCCTCCTGCCGCGCAGCAGCCGCGCGCACCGGCAGCACGTGCACAGGTGGTGGCACGGCGCCATGACGCAGTCGCGCGGCGCGTCCATGCAGACGGCGCAGTCGTGCGCGCCGCCGCCGGCCGGCGCCACGTCGGCCGCCGACACCAGGTTGCCGACGAAGGCCAGCTGCGGCGCGTAGCGGGTCTCGGTGCTGGCGGCGCCAGCGGCGGCCGCCGCCAGCCGCTGCCGCCGCCAGCGGCGTCGCTGCTCGCGCTGCTCGTCGTCGAGCACCACCGGCTCGGGGCCGCAGCGCAGGAACGGCGTCAGCCCCATGTGCGTGAGGAACTGCGTGACGGCGTCCATGGTGTGGCGGCTGGTGGCCGGCCCGGGCGTCACCTCCACCTCCGGCACGTAGTACACCGGGTACAGGAAGCGCACGCCCAGCACCCGCTCGGGCCGCTGCACGCGCGCCGCCAGCGCGCTGATCGGCACGCGCAGCGTGCAGCTGGCCAGGATGGCCGTCTCGGCGGCGGCGGCCGACAGGCGCGCGAACGTCTCTTCCTTGACGGCCGCGTCCTCGGACACGCACTCGAAGACGATGCGCGCGTCGGCCAGCGCCTCGTCCAGGCGCGCCAGCAGCGTGACGCGGCCGGCGCCGGCGCGCTGCAGCAGCAGGCCGTCGCGGCGCAGCTCGGACCGGTCTAGGCGCAACCGCTCGTGGGCCGAGTCCAGCGCGGCCCGGTCGCGGTCCCACACGCGCACCGAGTGGCCGAAATAGCTGAGCGCGCCGGCCACCTTCAGTCCGAGCGTACCGCAGCCGACCACACAGACGCGGACCATGTCCGCCCGCGCCGGCCACCGGACACTCCGGGTCACTGGGGGA